AACGCATATGTGGAGGCACGAAAGGCTTTTCTACTTTAATGGAGCGTAATTGTGTCGCATTTCAAGCTGAAATAGGCACAGAGTGTTTTGCGTACCAGACACAATAAAACGAATCGTCATACCGCATATAATTATTTGTGGGAACTTTTTAAATGCTTCTTGCCTCTGGTTTATTAGCCATGCATGCGAAGCTCTAACAGAGGCTGTGGCTGGCTCTAATGAAAAATACACACACATCAACCATAGTGACATTGTCGGAGTTAGAAGCCCATTAATCAGACGCGGGTCAATTTATTGAGCATCATTTAGGATGACTATTATTTCATCGATTTAACATGTTTAGCTATTGATTGTTAACAATTCAATCACTTGTGGCTGACTGTAAATTAATGCAACTTTGGTTCGGAATCTTTTAAAGAAGCTGGTGAGTTTTTGGGATTTTTGCACAGTTTTAAAGAGAATTAAGTCAGGAAGAAATTCCCTAAAAAGTTGAAAACTCACCGCTTTCCCCGTGTTTTCGGCGAAGAAGCTGCTTTTCCTGCCTGGATAAATTTCTGATTTTTAACAAAAACCGTTGCGCCTCTTGCATGAAAACCTGTTCCATCTCATGGCTAAATATTAATTTCACTTGCAGACAAGAACCAACTTCAATCCATGTATGCAGTAAACAGAAAAAAACAGTCGGGTTAATTGCCAGCTATAACTCCGTTTTGGTTTGCTTATCCCGAATGTAAAAGTAAATTTATTATTTTGTTGATTGCGTTGGAGGAACGTGTTTAAGTGCGGTTTCAAGTGGCTCCTGTTTGCTTTATTTGTCCAGGGCTAATAGCCTGGAATCGTTGTTTTGTATGCGATTTAATTACCAAACAAATGCAGCAAATAGGCGGCGTCTATCTTTCGAGTTTTGAGCACCGGCATTTATTTGCTTACAACTATTTCCAATTATTTAACTAGTTGGAGTTATACTCAAACAATTAGGCGATGAAAGGTTGACATTAAAGAAACGGCATTTAACATTTTGTTTGGGAATGGGGAACTTTAGAAGCTATTTGAAAATGCGCGTTTGAGGAAAAAACTGTTAGGCAAAAGTTCGCTCAGCTCACTTCGCACGCCTTCTAATAATCCTTTAATTACAAACCAATAAAGTCCCATACATTTTACATTATAGCCCATAACGCGTCTGAACCCGACTGTCATCACCCAGATGGGAAAAGATAAGGAATTATTAAGGCTTGTAATGATATGCTAATGCCATCAGAGCCCTAATTTGAGGTGTAAGCAAGCGGTCAAGTTCAAAGAACTAGTCAGCTTAATTAGTTGGCTTTTCGAATTGGCTTCGGATTTCTTGCTGAGGATTTTTCTTGGCATTCGGAACGTTTCGGACTTTTAGTTGATTATGGTTAATTAGATATACGTTCATATGATCCGCGTTTCTTGGCATTTAGTTCAACAACAATGGACTGATTAAGTAGATTTGCCATCTGGACTTTATTGCGGTGCGAGCTTTTTCTGTCCAATTCAACGAAATTATTGCAAGCCGTAAACAAAGCAAATGCACCAGGCAAAACTGGAGAAAATATATGCATGAAAGAACTCTAAAGTCCTTCAAAGTGTATCAAAAAGTGGCAGATTCACCACTAAGAAGAGAACGATAAAAATACACAAAATCCACTTAAAACCGTTTTACGTACTCTTATTTTACACCCAATTTCCTTCTTCCTATATCTTCATCACTGGCAATTAACAACTGATAATTAAAAATAAAAATTTAATAAAAGAGTACGACGAAGGCAAAAACCCATCTTAACAGGATTCAAAACAAAGTATTACAGGTTTTGAATTCTGAACCCTAATCCGCTCCTATTCGCATCAACTGGTTTATTATGAATCGGTTTTCAGCATTTTTCCATGTTGTTTAAGCGCAATGAATAAAACATATTTAATTAAACATTAAATAAACTGTGTACACTTAGCGTGGACGAAATAAAGCAAAAACTGCTGTTCGCGATTACCAAAGAAGCAAGTGAAGAGCACATTAAAAGCAATCAGCTCTGATTACAAGCAGGGTACTCTTAATGATTGATGTAGCAGAAGATGGCGGTAATTAGCCTGTATTAATGTTTATCGAACATTTTACAAGCCGAGATGAGTTATTGACCCAGTCTAGTTAGATCTGAGTAGATTTACAAGCATTTTAATTGTTTCACATAGGCTCATGTTTGGGCAGTGTGTATGTTCCAGAGGAGTTGGACTTTTGTGGCATTTGCTTGAAGCTGAAGAATTTTTCAGGCTTTTAAACCCACGTAAAAACCAATGCTTTCCTGGCGTTCCTCAGGCACGAGTGGCTCATAGATGAAGATTAACCCTCAGCGATTGCCTGTTGGAAAACACGAATTTAAAAAAAAATTCCAAGAATAAGCCAAAAATCCCACAATCCGGCTCGTAATATCATTCGAAAGAGAAAATGCGCTGCTTTAAGTGTGGAAAAAAGCACTTTAATAGGGAATTTCTTAGGGTTTCCAGAATTTTTTCGGATACTCAGGCGAGGAGATTAGCAGTTGGAAAACAGACATTTTCAAAAATTTGGCTAGAAAAAGCCAAAAATCCCACAATCCAGCCCATAATATCACTCGAAAGAGAAAATGCGTTGCTTTAAGTGTGGAAAAAGCACTTTAATAGGAAATTTCTGGGACTTTCCAGGATTTTTTCGGATGTTAAATCGAAACCATTGGTCGTTGGGCAACAACGACTTTAAAAAAATTTGCCAAGGTAAAGCTAAAAATGCCTCAGTCCGGCTCATGATATAACTCCAGAGCGAAAATCCGCTGCTTTAGGTCAGGAAAAACTCACTTTAATACAAAATTTCTGAGAGTTTCCAGGATTTTTTCAGCTAAGCAGAGCTACACTAATCTCATGTGACCATCTTTTTCGTTTGAAATTTTCCCCTCTTCTAATTACCGGTGACTGCAATAACAGGATGAGCGTTAGAAAATACGAACTTTAACTTCCCAAGCCAAGAAAAAAGGCAGGCTTTTAAACCAACGTGGAAAATAACGTTTTGCTAACTTTCCCCAAGCAGTGGCTGCCATCTCCAGAGGTGGTTATTGTGCCGAGCAAAACACCCCTAAAGAAGGAACGTGAGAAAGAAATTATTTTCCATGACGGCTTGAAAACCCCAAAAACTCACTATCTTCATTGCTTATATGTTTTAGTATTATCACGCTCCTCCAATGCTCCTCTTCAAACTTCAAACGCTGCTTTTCATAAGTTCGATGTTTCATAAGCCATCAATTTATAATGAAGAAACCTTGTTGACCAGGATGTAGAGGAAAACAACGAATATCTAATGATTTCATAGTAAAAAGAAGAGTCACACAGTGTAATTTAAATACTCGCAAGTAGAGTACCATTCAAAATTGTTCATGGAATTGATATTGACTGTTCAATAGTTATATGCAAATGGGATCCAAGTTTAATGTGCTAGTCATTCAAGCAAGAGTGTTTTGAATACATAAGACGAAAGATGACCAAAATGGAAGTTCCTTTCAATTTGAATACTTTGGATAATTCCGTTGATTTGTGTGGCATTGTTTATTCACTGTATCATTAGCTGCAACTAAAGGTTTATAGAAATGTAGGCGAAAAGTGTGACAAAATTGACTCAAGCAACCAGACGAATGAAACTAGAAGTGAGCCAGATTCCGCTTCAAGAATTTGCGCAGTTTCACTTTGACAATGGTATTAAATCATACATAAAATACCACCAACTAAGCTGGTTGTTTTACGGTAAACGCCTCGTTGTCTTTGCATCCGCTGATTAACCATGCAAAATATAATGTTTCGCCGCTACTGGCCGCAATCCATCATGGACAAACATCGAAAATAGTACGATTTTAGCGAAATCAACAGTTCCCAGCCATAGTTCAGAAGAAATTAATACTGGAGGCACACCCACGGCACATTATTATAAGCCCATAGTAATAGCGGAAGCCATATATTACACGTTAAGCTGGACCGTAAATTTACGATTGTACTGTGCAAGTACTGGCAAATAGACGGTGCTAATTCAATATTTCAGTATGTAAAAGTTGGCAAATTTGTGGGTGGATTTAGCTGCGGGTTTTCACTTTTCAATCCGGAAGAAGTCAATGTTTAGCGTGTGCAGATCAACTGTGTTCTTAAAAAATCCGGTACGAACAGCTGAATAAATCATAATATTGACTTATTTTTTTACTCTCACGAAATTCCAGTTCTGAACTTGTTCGATTAAGCGCGATTTTGAGCAAAAAAAGTGATCATTTCCAAACGCCATTGACCCTTATTTAGCTATGGAAAGCCTACAATTTCCTACAATTGTGTTTCAAAAATCTAACATGCAGTCAAACCGTAATAAAATACAACTTGCTGTTTTGATATTGATTCATGAATTGTTCGTATCACCGACAAGTCGTAATGTACGTTTGTTTGAGGTTGCCTGATAAAATTAACGGGAATTTTCACACAACGAATTTCACTTTTTGCCCATTGATCATTTTTCATATTAAAACACAGTTTTCGATTTCTATTCGATTGGTGTGCAGCAGTTTTCTATCAAATGGTTTTAGACTTTAGACACAAAATGTGACCAAAAGCTTATATCCTAGAAATCTCTAAATTCTTCTTAGTCCTTCAGCTTCCTTAGTTCACTTTTTAAATACATTTTTCAGTAGTTTTTGTGTTCTTCTAGTCAATACTCTCTTGTAATAAAATCGGTTTCAATTTTTTTATTAATTACAAACCAACGGAGCCCAAGTTTTTTTATCTATAAGCTTGTTCTTCTATTCTTAATCAAATGACGAAAAGTGGCCGGTTTGCGTAAAGAAATTTGCCAGAGATAATTTCACATTTCCAGCTTCCTTTGCTTAACGTTAAATTAAAAACTTTTAAGCTCCTACTAAAACTCCTCTCGCAAATATCAGTGGCGAGATAAAAATGATAATGGAACTTATTAAAAGCACTAAATATACAATTTAGCAGCAAATGTATCACTGTTCATTAAAGTGGTGGGTGGCAGTGAGAAGTGAAGAGATAAGAGTGTGATACGAAAATATTCGAATAATTTAAGTGACAAAGTGTGTGCACACTTAAAAGTTTGTAAGTTGCCATCAATAATCGTGCAGAAAATAATGATAAAATTATCAAAACAGGCTCTAGGGAACATTTCTTCAGCCCGAAAAATTCACCAGTTTTGCTTGATAAAATGCTTGTGAGAGAAAATTACCGCGACTCGTCTAATTGGGTATTACATATTTGTAATTAATTTATTAAGTGCGGCCGGAGGATTGGCTCGATAAATTGGCGGCTCTTGACTGTTTCCATGCAATTTTCATCAAGGAAATATTAGCAGGAAACTTTTAAATAAATGATGTCACGCTGCCATTCATTCAAATACTCGGTTCTACTACAAGTAGGTACCAGTTTTGCAAAATTTAATTGTTCAAAAAACAGGTTTGAACGGTTATGTACCGTTTCAAGTCGTCATCGTTACACAACAAAAATTAAAATTGGCAAGTAAAAATCTGTTGGGGATTTTCTAGACTCTGAACCTCTTCATCCACGGTACTATTGAATGGTACCGCATGTGCTCGGGTACCCCCAGTGTTGCCAAAATATTTCTGTAACTGAATATTATCTAGGCAAAACGTGGAAATGCGGAAAAAATAAACAGTTGCACTTCAATCGAAGAAAAATACATCACATTGAGTTTAAACCAAATAAATTGGGTTGTAAAGTTCGCTCTCGAGGTGATTTATTCGAGTCATATATTTTTAGTGAAACATCTGAAGATTTAATTGGCTAAACCGTAGTGGATTTATTTAAAAAAAGTCTCTGGACTTAATAAATGTGGTGTATGTTTTGCATGCACATTAAGCTTGAAAAGTGTAAGAAGCTCCACATTTTTATCCGCGATTCCTCAGATTGAAATACTTATATTTATATTATGTTTTTACAACAAGATTAACAGGGTGTTCATAATTAATTGATTGTATTTCCATTAAGCTCTCAACAGTAGATTCCAAGCTTATTTTTGAATTTCTCAGTTTAAATATTTATGGATATTCTTAGCTTAACAAAACTTTAACGCAACATTTGCCCTCAAGGAAATAACCGATTGTTGAAGCTGAAAAAACATTGTCCAAGCTGGATCAGGAAAACTTTCCACAGAATTTCAAAAAGTCACTTTTTTCTGGCCTGCGGCCTTTGTCAGCTTTCGCACACATCTCAACCGTTGGCACAACATCAGCCTTGCTCTTACGAATTTTCCGAATTTTCATCCAGTTCCATGGAAATTTTTTAAAGCTGACAACGCAGCTTGTTTTAGAACCATGTTTCCAAAAGATGATAGGTTTGCAGTTTTTCGTTCAGTTGCCGGCAACACGTTCTTTAGTAGGCAGGACGATCGGCGCGATGTCCACGTTTTTAAAATACGGCTCGTGATCATTAAATTTCAGATTTTTCCAAAAACATTTTTTTACCGTAGTGACAGTCACTTTTTCACTCTTCTGAAGGTGCGTCTTTTATGGCTGAATTTTTATAACTCTGTAGAAGTTGCAAAATATTATTAGATAATATTTCAAGGTAACACATTGTGAGTTTCCTCAGTTTGTGGGTCATTCAAACATAAGGTAATTAGTATAAATAATCTTGAACTGGTTGGGATTTTTCATGGGTTTTTACACCTGCCGCTCGCTTTACTTATTACTGCTGGAAAATTACTACCAAAACTTGGCGCTTTCTTTGCAAGAAAGATTTGTGTTTTACTTCGTAATTCCCTTAATTGGATAAAAAAATGTGCTATTTCTCACAAAGAAGTGCCAAAAATCTTCGGTGTTCAAGATTATCAATTCGCATGAAATGCGCACGTTTTTCGCTCTTTCTGAAAAATTTGTTTGCAAATTCAAACATGTGCGCATTCCTCGAAAATTGATATTCTCAAAAAGCTCGCTAAGGAATGCGCACATGTTTCGCTCTTTCTGCAAAATTAGTTAAAAATAATTCTAATTAAAACACGAATTACTTAATTGGTAGCAACCGGCCGCCGGTTGATCTACATTATTTAATTTTCTTTTAATCCTATTACTCGCCGTTACAAAAGAAAATGTTGCAATATATTAAGTCACAAGTATACTTAGATCTGGGTTAAGGCGATAACAAATATTATCTTCCAGCTATTACACAGAATAGATGGATTGATCGAAATCATGTAGATAAATGACTCGGCAGATTGTTAGTTTTTGCACTATCTTTTTCTACATAATATACACTAACTGTAAATCACTTGAAACTGTAGGCAGTGGGAATTTTTTCATTAGTTCCTCCAACAAATTGCAAATTTTTACGACACTTCACCTTCAATAACAGGATTTTGCTCGTCGCCTGCTCGCAAATTTGCTACTTACAACTACGCATTCAACGAGTGCTGTTAGTAAATCCGGTAAGGATAACCCGGAAAATGCTCAATAAGTCTGATAAAGTACCATAAAATGCAACTAAAATAGTAGTAAATTGATACCAATCCTATTTACCGCTAGAAGCGGCCACGATCTAACGACTTTTGTTTTATAGCTTCATTCATAGATTTATTTATTTAATCATCAAGCAGTGAATCGTGAAAGTTTATGTGCTGAATTTCAGAGTTTTTGACTTCTATTTTATTTTATAATGTTAATTTAACAAAAGTTGTCAACGTCGCCTTATTTTGTTCAGAAGTTGCTCTTGTGTGGTTGCCTAAAACAACTATTTCTTTACTTCAGCATAACAATCAAATTAAGCGCTTTTTAGGTTTTCTTAACTGTTTCCGATTAATTACTTGCTAATTCTAACCAAATGAATGGTTAAGCATTGATTTTTTATTTTTTTCTATAAAAGCATTGTCTGCTTCCATATTTTCAATATTACCCATTTTTTTGCTTTTTTCTACATTTCAATTGGTTTCTTTGAATTAGTTCAGTTGAATTAAAAAACAACAACAAGCACAAAAATGATCTAAAGAGAAAAGGAGCCTCAATAAATAATAATAATAAGTTAATAAAATGTGGAAATACCTATGCCAAAATCTTTGCATGCTTGCATCTGTTCATTCTCTGATTCCCTTCGTAAAATAAATCGGCAGAAAATAAACAATTTCGCCGTCTTCTGCACTTGCAAAATGTAAAATGATCGGAATCGTCTATAAATATACGAAAAAATCTCTGGACTCGAAAATTTTATTAACATCCAGGTTGACCGTGAAACTTATCACGAAATGGAACGGTTATAGCGGACTTTGAATGCAAGTTCAAGCAATTATTTCATCAGTATAATACAGCTTCTGTTTACTTGCTAAATGATATGCAATCGCAATAATGCAACATATTTTTAAGTCAGTAGAGTTTATCTTCAAAATTTGCTTGCGATTGCGATACATTTGATGTTTCCCAATCATGTGCGATATTAAGGATCTTAAGGATTCAAGCGGTAATTCAGTATCGAAATCAATGCAAAGGTAAATCAATGGACGCAACAAGCACAAAGCTTCAACTAACCAAAATAAATCATCAAAATCCCAGATGCTATTGATGAATAAAATAAAACTACTGTATAACGGGTGTCGGTTATATAAGACTTGGCACGCGTTTTGGAATGATTTGCAACTACCGAATGACAACTAAAATTGAAAATGTTTCACATTAAATAAAATTGCGCTCATCGCGCACAATGATCTGCAATATCTTGTCTATTTAAGCAACACAACATTTTAATTAATTAGTATAATTGCTTCAAGGCTGTATCGTTTTAATTGAGCGTCATTGCCAAGACAAATAACCGACAGATTAGATGAAATGTTATCAACATGTACATTACATTTGCCTAAGTGCTTGCCTATTATCAGACCAAAATGCTTCTACCAGATAAAATTGTTAATATGTTATGGATGAGGTTACATGCTTTTTGGAGTATTAAATGCATATGGAACAGATATTCCATATTTTCCGTTACAGAGTAATCAGCGCAATTTCGACATTACGATAAAATCTCAATCGATTCCATGCGGATGGAAAATTTCAAATTCGAAAGTTAATCAAATCAAGGTTTTTGGAAACGGAAAAAGAAAGGGACTCTTTTCTTAATTTCACTTAATTAAGTGGCGGAAATTCTATTGATTCACGATTTTCACGATTTTTTTTGCACAGAAACGTGAGAAGAAGCTGTGTTTGAAAATTTTCAAATTCAAAGTGCATTCATAAATTCTTAATTGAATCGAATAAATTTCAATCTATAAGAATTGAAATGAAATTCCACAAAAATTCACAATTTTACGAATTTTAAAAGTGTTTCTGTTCTTTATGTTTAATTTCACATCGTTTTATTTAAAAAGTATAATTTTTTGATGCACAGAATTGGCGGACTGCAACTCTAAAAAATGCCCATTTTATACTCTGAATGCTTAACTTATTTGATGAAAAATCTACAAATCATTTTTCGTATAAAAAAAGCGATTCTTTCTAATAATTTAATGCATTTTTCCAGAAATTTCAATTCACATTTAATTAAAGCAATTTGTAGCTAAGTAAGCTTTTGTAGTTGTATACTAGCAACTAAGTATTTTTGGCGAAAAAAGAAAGTCTGCCATAATAATGGAGACTATTTCAGAAAAACTTCAATTTGGGGAAGCTTCAGCAGAAAATAAAATCAAGTCAAGAAAGTTCAATTTTATTATCTACAATAAAATGACTGTTTACTCTCCTTTACATAATCAGTTATTCACAATATCAATAACAGAAATCAAGTACTTAATGGAAATTTCACTCACAAAGAAGCACTCTCTTTATTGAAGATCTACGAAAAGTTTTTCACACAAAATGTGGTGAAGCTTTTTCATAATAAAATGAGACGTTTCTTTTCCAGAAAAGTGAAAATTAAGAACTCAGCAAAAAGATCGGAATTCATTGAGGATTGGAAAATCTACTCCGACAAATTGACAGATTTTGACTTCAAACTTGATCCATTTACTTAATTTTTTTTGCAAACTGCTTGTTGGGTATTTCGCCTCAAAAACGTTTGTTTTTAAAAACAGAAAAAACAGACAGAATTTCCTCACGTCTTTTATTACAGATTGATAAATAGTGCTCCTATTTCGCAATAAGAACGAATTATTTATCAAAAAGTAATCGATAATTATTAACTTGAATATTTGCGGATTAATGTTTTCTTCTCATGTTGCTCCAAACACTCCTTCCAGTTCTTCATTCTACTGATATTTTTCAGAGATGAGTTTCTCTTTTATGATTAATTTCACATCGTTTTCTTTAATACACACAATTTACGGCCTGCATTTTGAGCTCCAAAAATTTCCCAAAAAAATATGCATGCAAGTTCGGAAAAAATGTGATTCTTATGGGAATGAGCAACGTGTAATTTTTCGCAATTTTCGAAAATCGCTTCACGGTTTTATTCAGAAGGTTCCCAGTCCTCCTTGTCCCAACACTAGTTTTACGTCCGAAATATTTTATTTTGGATGAATCAATCAACTGGCAAACTTCACAAGGCCACACTCCAGATAACAAAATCTATATGCTCGCATATCGAAAATCCTGCTGTTGACTTATTGATATTATCTTCAATTTCTTGCCAAATTTTGCGTTAATCCCGGTTTAGACAATTCTCCAACCCATCATCGACCTATTCTCAAACACACTTTCATTTCCAGGTCCTGTTCGATCCGGACAACTACAAGACTGATTATTCACATTCAACCTCAGCGAGTTTGTTCCCAGAACGAGGTCGTGAAAAGGCACACAAACACAAAGTGGAAGTTGGAAATTATCGCGCGTGGTTGCGACCATTAAAACTTTAACACCGTTCGCACCCGATTTATTCATTCAGGGAAAAAGAGACGTAAATCTTCTGCAGACTTCGAAGTTAAATTATACACGAGCCGGGATTAAACAAACACATTTCCAGCTGAAAAAATACCTGTCGAGAAAGAAAGTGTATAGTTGTCGGATTGTTTCCGTTTCGATTCTGGATTCCAAAGAAGCTGATAAATAACGTGTCGACCGTAAACTTACTGTGCGGGTTTTTTCCTTAAATAACTAACTGTTGGGGCATTTGGCAAATCTCCGAATTCGTTTACGTGTGTGAATGCTGAGTCGAGGTGCTTAAAGCGGCCAAACACATCAAAGAATGGATATCACCAAAGAAGCGGTTAATCCCAATCCCAGGGATAAATCCACGCCTCTGGGACTACTGTTTTTCACGTAAGTACAAACTTTGTGCTTTTCAAATGCACTGCGCTTTATTGACCATTTCCTTAATAAAAGGGCTGAAGCCATTTTCAGTTTTGACCGAAAACTATGCAAAGCACACAAATGCTCTTTTCACTATCTGCTTCTTCATGAGTGATGGTTTAGGTTTGGCTAAAAGCGTCGAACTTATCTGGCCGTTGGTGCGTAAACAAATCGTGTGGAATGTGCGGTAGTAAGTGTGGAATTGAAAACGTCGCTATTTCAGCACATCCACTGTTTGCCAAACAAGCAAACTTTTAGCGAATATTCCACTGACTCTGTTAGAGGCAATTTAAGTCACAGATGCGATAATAAACGCAGCTTAGTTAAAATTTTGCGTGCAGTATTTGTCGAAATTTGATTCTTGATGGCTTGAAAGCCTGCAAAAGGATCAGTTTCGAGCCAAAGCAATTAAGAAAATTCCAGTAGCGTGTGTTAATAAACAGTCCAAAAATTATTGACTTTGTGCTCGATGCGAGTTCCTCATGTGTTTAACACCCCATCACGTACGCCTGGGGCCCGACATTAACGATCTAAGATCAACACGGTTCTGTAAAATATCAATTGCACGAAACCCTAAAAGCTGATACGCTCTGGCCAATCTATTTTCGATTTGTCGCATCATGATCGAGTACCGAACTTATTAAGGAGTCCGTGTGAGGAATTGAAGATTAGAGTTTGAATATGTGCCAATTTTGCATGCGAAAAACTTGCACTTTGGAGCTTTACGGGCACACTTAGAGGGAATTTTCAGGTCAGGTTAATAACTGAATTTTGCTGGTTCAACAGCTAAAAAATTTCGCAAAAACACTGATTCATCCTGAAAACCCTTGTGGGAAGCTTCACAGACATTTTCTAATCAAAATTATTCAATTTAAGAAAACGCCTGCACTTGTACTGCTGCCTACCTACTTTCCATCCTTTTTGACACCCATGAAGAAATCGACTGTTTCAGGCCATCGATCTGCCGTAATTTATTCGGAATCAATTGATGCACGAAAATAAGTCATCCTGACTTACAGAGGCGGTAAAAAAATTAAATCTAGTCATTTTGAAGCGTAGGCCTTAGACTGGCATAAAAAAGCTGGTATTACCGACGACACAAAGGGTATTATAAGATGGGGATTAGAGATCGGGTTTCAGTGTATCGGAAGAGTTACGAATCAATCGAGTACACCTACACAAGTGTATCAATGTTGCCTAATGGGTAATTCTCCTTAACGAATCGTTTGTTGAAAGTAGACGCACGAAAAGGGGTAAATTGGAATTTACCTTTCTTGACTGCAGTTAAGTTATCTTTGCAAATTATTCGTTGTTTTCAATTTTCATTTTTGAGCATTAAAATGCAGCAACTGGGCATTAAAACGAACGATTTTCCAATCGAATATCTCATGAACATAAATAATTCTTAGCATCTGGCTCGCATATTTCGCAAGCGACAAAGATGAATTTTTCAGTTTCAAAATGATGCCAAAGTAGTGATTATTGTAATTATAGGCTTCTAAGTAAAACTTGAAATTCATGGACTCGCGCGATGATTAAACAAAATTTATGTCGTAAACCTTGGAGTTTTTTCAGCCATGCAGAAATTTCGTAAAATTATCCCATTCATCTTACAATCTGGTTTATTGTAATTTACTGTTGTGTTTGTCATTTTAATTCATGTTCGCTTATTATTTATATTCGCATGTTTGCAAAAGCAAAAAAGCTAAATAATAATAAAATTAACCGTTATTTATTTACACTCTTCAACTAATGTTCTAACATCCATTCTCGATTTCAAAGCACATTTTTCCCAAATCATAAACCGTATGTTTAGGTCATCTGGTTTCTTTGATCAGCAAGTTAAATGGCACTTGAGAGCGCTGGATATTTTGAAAGTCAACAGGGAAATTCGATCTTTAGCACTTTAAAACACATGTTTTATGGAGCAGAAGAAATATTTAACGTTGACAGCGACCATTTGTGACCAGCAGTCGATGATTGCAATTGGCTGGATTTCCGGCTATTTATACGAAAATATTTATTGCCCCCATGGGTGGCACTTGCTTATTGATTTATGCCACTTCAATAGAACTAAGCATATTATTCGTTTTGCAGCTGTTTAAATTTAAATTGGATTGATTGATAAACGACTGTGGAGGAACTTGCTCGGTTTCAATTACCAAGCGAGCGTTTCTCAATTTAATAGCATAACATCGAAACTTTTTCATATTTCGATCTTTAATCAACAAAAATAACAAAACGCAATTCGACCAGATGTAACTGCTCGCCATATTTTTATCTTTATTCAAACAGCAATTAATGTTCCTTAAGAAAGACTCCAGGAAAACGAGCTTTGTCTGCGCCTTCCGAAAATAAACTGGTCGTATTTAAGGTATCTTTTATTTAATGTAGTAGGAAGTTGGAAAGATAAATTTCAAGAGTGGTATTCAGGGGCCTGGCCAGAAATACCTTAATTTATTACAAAGGGGATTATTTTCGGTATTAATGCATTTTTCTAGGCAGGAAAGTGCCCGATTCAAACAATCAGGGCCTACGATCGAATTTATTAACATGTTATTAAAACAAGGGAACGTATCGTCTTAGCTCATAACTTCCTTTCTGTGTTTTTCTAAGAGAAAAGGGAGAAATTAAGTTTTTGTTCTTTCTAATACCATTAACTATTTTTTTTTTCTTTCTATTTTCAAATAAACACTAGGGAATGTGTGGAATTAGCTTATAATTTTCCACAATTTTTAACGCAAAAATCGCAAAATGTTATTCGAATCAGAATACCAAGAAAAGTTGTTTCCTCCAATCTATTCAAAGAAAGTTACAAGCTAATACAAACACAAATTTCCTTGAAAACTCTACTGTGCACCTTATTCATTTTCCCGTAAATTATTTGCTAGAAGCCATTTCAGCTACATTTATTAGTTAATTTATACCAGGAATAAACCATTGTTATGAATTCTGCATACGGTTCATCGTTAATCAAATAATCGTCAATCAGGTAGCATTCCAAGCAATAATTTGAACAAAGAACACTAACCAATTTAATTGGCTATACATAATGCGCTTTATCGCAGACAGGTAGAGGTTTTATGATGGTTCGTTTAAACGAATGATGTTCCCAACCATCAAGATTTCAAGTTCTCGACAACTATTTTCATCGACATTCTTTAATAAAGCCGTAGTTAAATGTAAAACGGCCCTAAAAAGCGAAAAATTCCATCGCTGTTAAACAGATAATTTAACGCCCTAAGGAAATGACAAAAACACTGATAAGAGTCATCTTCTGAACTTGTATTTTACCCGACATCTTGGTGGGAAATCGTTGACATTTTAATGATGAGAATGAAAAATCATTCTTTCAAATTTCTTATTAATGTATTTGAATTATTTCTTTCAGATATACTTTTGGAATATTCAAAAGAGGCTACTCCAAAGTTCTAGATGTGGATGATCTCTACAACCCAATCAAAAGCGATAGAAGCATGCTTTTAGGTGATCGATTAGAAAGGTACGAACAATGAAAAAAAAATCTACAAAACCCGTTAAATAGTTTTTAACCGCTATTCGCTTAATTTATCAGAAGTACGTAAGTTTCCGGTTTGATGTAGAGGAAGGCCTAACTGAAAAAGGACATTTTACGCATTCCTCTAATCTACCTCAACCATAATTAGTTCTCTTATCTTTAATTATCAGCTGCATAGACGAACGGTTTAACGAGACCAGCGACAGGCGGAAATCGCTTGCTTGGCACGACAGAAATTTCAGAAAAGTTCTCTGGCAGAAAATATAATTTTGCTCAAAAGTTTCTAACAAAAGCTATAGTATTGATGATATGATAGATTGATGTAAATTTGTTTTCTACGTGAACATTATACTCCTATCTGAAAATGTATCTTATTCATCATTGTTTTTATACATTTTAAGTTCAGCTATAAAAAAATGTCTTGGTTTTTGCTTTTACAAATTATTAAATTTTTACCTCTTTGAAGTAGCAATTTATGTTTTTGTATCGCTTGTATAAAATTTTGTTTGATTAAGATTAAAAAGTATGTTGAAAATGTCGTCCTTTCAATCTACTTGATATTTACGGTGTTTTTCAAACGAAGCCTTTGCTGACGAAGCCACTATAAGAGAAACAAGGAAGATCGCTGATTGCGTGCATTGGACGGAAAGGAAAGATCTGCAGTTTTTGCAATCTCGGCAAACTTGAACGGTATTCCGTCTCTATCTAAGCACCTAATTAGTGATTTTCCTTGTTTCACCTGAAAATTTCTAAATCAAGTTCATCGCCATTGATCATCACGTCAAATGCAAATTAATTGGAAATAGGAAATAGTGAAAATGCGGCATTAAAAATGTGAAATTGGGGAAAGAATATGAGAAAAGCGACCAAAATAAAAAAATGTGTTTAATTCTTCAGATATTCAAAGGGTTCAAGAATGAAAAGTTGAAGCTTTATCTAGCCCCATTTGTTTTTTGCTCATCCCCCAGGTTTTGGTAACAATTAAGCACCTCAGAAAAATTTTCTACAGGGCCGCAAATGAAAAAATGAAAAATTTYGCAGTTCGGCATGCTTTTTTTTTCYTGACACCAAAAGTTTAGATGAACCAAACACCTACTCGAAACCGTTTTTTAAATTTTCGGTCATCGTTGCTATTTACAGGGTGGTCTCAAAAAACCAACTTTCGGGTCGTGTAGCGATAACTTTTCTTCTCTTGGTTGGATTTTAACGATCTTCCGCTCATGTTCAAGCTTAAACTTCATAGAATTGAATTTCTTTATAGAGTTTAAATTTAAGACGAAAATTCGGTATACAAGGTTGCACCAAAAATACCCAATTCAGAATTGCCCCCGAAGTCTGATTCTGGAGGATTTTCAACTTGGTGAAGTTTACTTTCAAATATTTCGTTCATTTCAGTCCGGTATATTGAGTGCAGTGGACGGCGTTTTAGCTTCAACATGAGCCTTAGGCTTCGAAAATTGGTTGAAGAGAAAAAAATATACCTATAAGATCATTATTTTGAGACCGCTCTGCAATTAACCGGAATGGGCGAAAAATTAATTCCCCAATTATCTGTCGCTTTCAATCGCAAGCTTTATACATTCCAGCTTTTCATACAATTAGATTTTTCTCTTATCTCACGTTTGGCTCCGAAAATTAGCTTCAGAAGGACAATTGAAATGGCCGATGAAACGTGATCGCAAAACGTGTGCCACTTTGAAAATTTCTGGTTCCTAATCTTAACGATTATTTGCAGATAGTGGAATCGTGGTGTAATCCGTGCACAAAGTTCAACTTCGATATTGAAAAAATGTCTATTCATGTGAAATGTATCATTGATAAAGCAGGCGGAATCTCACATAATTGCTCAATATCATTATTTATAGAGACGCAATAATCAAGTGTTTATCCGAACTTTATTTTAACGTTTTGAGAAATCCATTGTGTTTTCAGAGTTTGGCATCGATTATATGAAAAAGCAAACAAGAAGCAGAAAAAAGCCAGCCTCTTAGTAGGCCTATTGCAGACTTTCTGGCCTGAACTTACAATTCTTGGGATCACTTTGGTGTTGATGCAAGTGTTCAGCTTGATTCAGCCCATGATGCTTGGCCAACTGCTGGCTTACTTTAGGTGAAACATTTATTACCCCCCAACTTGTACAAAAAATACAAAGTGGATGTTTTTAGAGCCGATACAGGGTTGACTAAACAAGACGCCTTCCTCTATGCGGGCGCTATATCCGTATGCACTTTCCTCAATGCCCTCCTCTCCAATCAGTACATTATGGGGGCGTTTCATTATGGAATGAAAATTAGGGCAGCCTGCTGCGCTTTGGTCTATCGAAAGGTACCGGCTTGGAAATGTCATGTTAAATTTAGACTAAGTTGTAATTGGGTTGCAGTCTTTGCGGCTGAGTAAGACCGCGCTAGGAGAAACAGCATCTGGAAAAATCGTTAATCTGCTCTCAAACGATGTCAGTCGATTCGATATGGTTATCATTTTCGTGCACCATATGTGGGTTGCTCCTGTAGTCACCATGATCATCACTTACTTAATGTGGGTGGACTCTGGATGGGCAGGAATCTTCGGGATTGGCACTGTGTTCATCGTGGTTCCCATTCAAGGCAAGTTCTCTCTTCTTGCAGGGTCTAAATGAGCTGGAGAATGCCAATGAATATTTATTTTTTATATATAGGATATACTGGCAAACTGTCTGCAATATACCGGAAAGCAACCGCGCAAAAGACTGATGAAAGAGTGCGACTTATGGACGAGATTCTGTCTGGAATCCAAGTCATCAAAATGTACGCCTGGGAAATTCCTTTTGCTAAACTGGTGCGAATGGCCAGAAAAGCTGAAGTGAAAATCATCACCAAGTCCTCCTATGTCAGAGGAGCCTACATGGCTTTCAATCTGTTCACCACCAGGCTGGCGCTGTTTGGAACTCTTCTGACCGTGGCTCTAATGGACCAGCCCATCACTGCCTCCAAGGTACGAAACTTTCCCTAATTTCCATTCCTTCATTAACCCCTTTTGGCCTTTTAGGTATTCGTAATCATGTCGTACCTGAACATTGTCTCCCAGACGATGTCCCAAATGTTCGTTCGTGGTATCTCCGAAATGGCTGAATTGCTCGTCGCTATCAAACGTCTAGAAGGTTTAATGTTGAATGAAGAGTTCGTTTCCCTAACCAGCACCCGCAACAACACCGAATACGACGCAAAGAAGCATTTGATTGACTTGCAAAACTTGTACGTGAAGTGGAACGCCAGACTGTCGGATAATGCTCTTGAAGACATTAATTTAACAGTAAACAGAGGCCAGTTGGTTGGTGTGATTGGACCGGTTGGAAGCGGAAAGAGCTCCCTGCTCCAGACCATTCTAGGTGAGCAACCAGGATGGTTCTATCTGTTATAGAATGAAGCTAAAGAATCTTTTTTTTCTAGGCGAATTGGAGATGGTTAGCGGCAAAATCGCCGTCAATGGAACCCTCTCCTATGCCTCTCAAGAAGCCTGGGTGTTTGCCGCAACTGTTCGCCAAAACATTACCTTCGGTTCCGAATACGACAAGAAGAAATATAACGACGTAGTCAAAGCTTGCGCTTTGGAGAAGGACTTTGAACAATTCTCAAATGGGGATCTCACCATAGTAGGAGACAGAGGTAAAAGAGCCTCAATTTACACTAGACTAAGTCAACCAGCAACTCAATGATCTTTCAGGTGCTTCACTATCCGGAGGCCAGAAGGCGCGCATTAACTTGGCCAGAGCAATTTACAGGGAGGCCGATATCTATCTGCTGGATGATCCGCTCTCAGCTGTGGATATTCACGTCTCGAAGCACTTGTACGATCTCTGCATCAACGGCTATTTGTACAATAAAACACGGGTGTTGGTCACACATCAAGTTCATCACTTAAAGGACGCCGACCATATTTTGATTCTCAACAATGTAAGTTTTTATTTAATGTGAGACGTACTGTAGTGCCACTATATCTGGTATTTAGGGGCGAATTGAAAATGAAGGAAACTTCAAAGACCTTTCGAACAGTGACAATCTGTACGCTCAACTGTTAACATCGGAACCAGAAGCTACTGATGAAGAAAAACAGAAAATCACCGATTTTGCTAAGAAAGACCGGAAGATGTCGGTTAGGAGTATAAAATCACTGGCCAGTGCAATGAGTGAGCTGAGCATTCCTGAAGCCATTTTAGCCGAACAGGATGAGGACTCTGAGGTAAGACAATACAACACCTCAATTAATCAAAGGACTATTTCACGCATGGGGTTTGATTCAGGAGGACGAAAGAGAGATAAAAATGAAGGACATGCAGGAGGAGTCATCTAAAGGCAAAGTGAAAGGAAACCTGTTCTGGAAGTATTTTTCTGCTGGAGGAAACTTCTTCTTCATCATCTTTGTGTTCCTGCTGTTCCTGTTAGCTGAAGGTGAGTCCAGCGAATCTCCATTGCGCGGAACGCGTGCTTATTGACTGGTTTCGTACAGGCGCTGCCATGGCTGTGGATTACTTCGTCAGCTTCTGGGTGAAAATTGAAGAATACAAAACCACCACCGAATTTCCAGTGGAAAATTCCACCAGCGCGTTGAATTCCACCGATTATGTAGAAGCAGTCAAAGCGTCTCCATTTGGATTCAACGCCATCACATGGGAAAAAGACCTGTTTCTCTACATCTACGGCAGCTTGATCATCAGCTTGTTTGTTCTGGTGTTCTCCCGATCAATGCTCTTCTACAAACTGGCTATGATGAGCTCGCAAAAATTGCACGACAGCATTTTCTACAGCGTCATCAATGCTTCGATGAGATTCTTTGATACCAATCCAGGCGGCAGAATCCTGAACAGGTTTTCCAAGGATATTGGATCAGTGGATGAGCTGCTGCCCAAGGCCATCATGGATGCTTCTCAAGTAAGAAAACCTGCAACATTGCCCGAAATTTCTCTGACTGCTACTTTGCTTGTACTTGCAGATGATTCTCATGTCATTGGGTTCAATTATTTTGATAACCATCGTCAATCCGATCTTCTTAGCAGTGGTGGCAATCATCGGCGGAATTTCCATGGTTATTCGACACGTCTACCTGAAGTCTTCCAAGAACATTAAGCGGCTGGAGGGAGTCAGTGAGTACTTTTTGCAAAACTATCTGAGTAGGCATTAAAGTGTTCATTTCTTCTAGTGAGAAGTCCAGTTTTTACTCATCTGAATGCCACTATCAACGGGCTGACAACCATTCGAGCGTTTGAAGCCCAGGGTATTCTTCGGGACGAATTCGACAAATACCAGGATGGACATACCAGTGCTTGGTTCATGTTCATAGCTGCCAGTTCAGCTTTTGGCCTGTGCATGGATATGTTATGTTTCGTCTTTATTACGCTCATCACTTTTAGTTTCCTGTTGTTTTCTGAAGGTAGGCATGTTGCAACAATTTACATTTGCTTTCACGCTATACCGTTGCTAAAAATTCAAGGCGAAATCGAGCAGCGAAGAAGAAGGCGACACATTAATAAATCACGTTTTTTTTTGTTCATTTCCACTTTTATGTCGCCTGTTTTTTTATACTCGAATAGTTGATCTGTTTTTGCTGTGATCACTGTGTCTAACTTTGTGTTTTATCTCAAACTTTACTTGTTTAGTTGTAGTTTTACTAGCTGGCAGTATCCCATAAGGTTTCAAAAAACTGCCAAAAATAAAACATAAAATGTGTAATCAGGGGACACAAAAAATGTTCGAAATTCACCGTTTTTTCGGTTTAAAGCACTCAACAATTCCATTAAAATCGCTTATTTTCGTGTGCTCAGAGCTCAGTGGCTAATCTGCTTTTGTGCTGTGACTTGTCTTTGTTCTGACCTGAAATTTGTGTTTTGTCGCAAATTTCCCTTGTTTCACTTTTCTGTTTTAGTCCAGAAAAAATAGGGAATGAAAAAACGTTTGCTCAAAACGTACCCACACACAATGCAAATTCTGCGTTTCTTTTCCAGAAATTGGCATAACTGGTGGAGATGTCGGCCTTGCAATCACTCAAGCCGTCTCCCTGTCCATGATGGTACAATGGGGACTGCGGCAATCGGCTGAAGTTGCCAATCAACTGATGTCCGTTGAAAGGGTGCTGGAATATAAGCAACTTCCTGCTGAAAAGCAACCGGTGAAGCCGAAAGAGCCACCGAAAAGTTGGCCTTCCAGAGGTGAAATCAAGTTCAGAGATATGGGGATGCGTTACGATGAAGATGGTGCTTTGATTTTGAAACAACTAAATTTGAAGATCGATCCCAACGAGAAGGTTAGTGGGAATATTCTGGGTTAGCGACTAGCATTTGAGCCGGTATTTTTCTCATTGATCAGGTTGGTATTGTGGGAAGAACTGGAGCAGGAAAGTCCTCGTTAATCTCGGCTCTGTTCCGACTGGCGCACGTGGAGGGAAGCATTCAAATTGATGATATCGACACCAAGGAAATTGTCCTGGAACAACTCCGATCCAAAATCTCCATCATCCCTCAAGACCCCGTCCTCTTTTCCGGCACTCTTCGCTACAACTTGGATCCATTCGAAGAGTACACTGATGATCTCCTATACAAGGCTATCGAAGAAGTGGAACTTAAGGATCCTGCCAATATCATCAACCGACTTGAAAGTAGAGTGATGGACCGAGGAGCGAACTACAGCGTCGGCCAAAGACAACTAATCTGTCTAGCCAGAGCCATTGTAAGAAACAACAAAATCCTGATGCTGGATGAAGCAACTGCAAATGTTGATCCTCAGTAAGTATCAAACGCCCGATGATTCAACCGTGTTATATTAAATGGGAAATTTCCACAGGACCGATGCCCTCATTCAAAAAACCATCAGGAAGAAGTTCGCCACATGCACAGTGCTTACTGTTGCCCATCGTTTGAACACCATCATGGACTCTGATAAAGTTCTTGTTATGGATTCCGGAACAATGGTCGAATTCGATCATCCACACAATCTGCTTCAGAACCCCAACAGCGTCTTCTGCCACATGGTGGATGAGGCAGGCCGCGGTCTTTCTGAGCAGCTCCGGAAAATTGCCAAGGAGAGTTTTTTGAGGCACATGAGTTTACCTGAATGAAGTGCTGTGTGTTAGGTATTTTTAAATAACTGTTGATGTGTCTTAAAGCCCATTATTCGGGGAATTTTACATTTCCTCGAGCGATATGGACGTTGGATTTTATCACTGCAACCCTCCTCCCTGTCTTATGATAGATAATAGTTCTTTTATAATGAACCACTTGAGACTGCACTTATACGAGTTTTAATAGATTGTTCGTCTATATACCGTATAGATGAACATATTTTTCGTACAAAAGGTCAAACGAATATTGAATGTTATTTAAAATTTTATGGATTTTAATCAACTTAATAGGAACATTTTCTGTGATTGCTTACTTAATATTAGTCGGGTGTTCCAGAGATTGGGAGAAAACGAATATCGTGCATTAAGAACGGTGCTAAAAGTAAAAATAACAGTATTTTTAAAAATATATATTTCTATACTTGTCTAGGATAAGAATCAAACACAGGGTGAAAACATATTGTAAAAGGTTTGTACTTTTATACGCATTTTCTCGTTTACTTAATACGGGCTACTTTAAAAGTGCAATTTTATTTAATTTATTTTAAAAGTTATACAAGGGACTAAGTGCTTTCGTATAAATTGAACTCTGTTTACTGTTGTTTTCAATTAGGTACTAGAACTAGTTGTCTTTATTTTTATCATATTATCGTACTTAGTTAATAATATTTATGTTCCTCATTCACTTAGGTTTAAACATCTAATTTACATACGAAATTGTCGTTAGATTATAAGGAAAATTCAAATTTATTTATTTTTGAATTACCACATCTTGCTGTATATTTAGTGTAAATAAATACGTTTTATGCATGTCACTGATTTGATAATAAAACTCGTCATACTGATAAATGTGGTTCTTTTATTTTACCAAAGTCATTTTGTTGTTTTGTCACTTATTTACAGAAAGTTCATTGAAATCCCGGTGATTTAAGATAAGTAAACTTGGGTTTTGGAATTTCAAAAGTGAGAAGTTGGACTAAAAAAGTTAAACAAAACCAAATTTTTAGAAAAGCAGGCTTAGATGAACTTGAGAAATAAAACGAATCAACCGATTTTTACATTTTTGGGGGCAAAATCGGTCTGTTTCGATACATAAATTAACTCCTATACGAATATTTACGGTTCTCACGCAAAAATAAAAAGAAAAATCTGAAGTGATGCTTTAAAATCTCGTTGGTTGGTTCAGTTTTTCAGAATGCGATCCAGTCGGATTTTTGCGTATTTTGGGCAATTTCGTTTACAATCCGTCTAGAGAAAATTTGAATATTTATTCGAATCTATTTAGAACTCGAAAATGGATCTTTCGGATATTTAAGGGCAAAATTGGCACGAAAAGAGCGGATGAAATTTACCTTAACGGGTATAAACCAAAGCTACTTTTCTATTCACAAGATATATTTTTGAACTTGCATTTTCCTTCAAAAAACAGTTTCAAATATTGTTAATTTTCCTGCAAAATCCGGCTGAAAATAAGGCATTGACCTCCTGACGCATTTATAACTGTGTTGAATTGACCGGTCCTCGTACAACTTACTATCCTGCACATTCCAGAAGAATCGGCCTAATCATCATATGCCCTGTTCTTTACCGGGAGTGATCAAGAATTTGCTATAACTCTTTTTTAAATTATTTAAAACTGACTTGAAACAACACACTGATGTATTTACATAAAGTGTAAAATTTTGAGTCTGCATTGCATCTCATTAGCTGCATAAAAAGCTGGCATAGATAACTTACAAATTATGAGGAAATATAAATAAACATTAACAATAAAATTATTCGATTTTAGAGTGCAAAGGTTAGCGGACAATAAAAGACTGTTTGTCAATAACACTGTAAATGGAATATTTAACATTTCCTGATATAAACATGTGCGGGACGATTGTCAATTAAGCCCAGAAGAAGCAACAAGAAAGTTCAGAGAAACGACCGGTTAAAAACTCTTCTTGAATTATGTGATCCAGTAGACATTGTTGCAGATTCACACGCAATTTTTGAAAATTACACTTTGGAATTTCTGGGAACGGTTCGATCACAATTCTCTTTATTAATCGCAACCTCATTTCTTTGTAGATAGACAAGTAGGCCTTTGGCTGCATTTGAGTCGGTGGACTCTGATAACAATATTATTCTTTCTTTTCAAATTAGTGCATTATCTCGGCTTCAGATTGCTTGGACAATAGCCGATGGTACTACATAATGTGGTGAATCGTCCACTTATGCATAAAATTTTAAAATTCGAAAAGTAGCACAAATAGTTCCGTAATTATTCCAAGAATAAGTGAGGTGAGCGCCTACTAGTTTAGTTTACTTGATGGATACTCCTTTCAAGTTGAAGCATGAAAATCCTAAGAAGAAGGCCAATTGCTTTTCGAAGCTTTTTTTCATGTAAGTGGTTCCAGGTTTTGAAACATTGTCATTTTCATAAAAAAAAATTCAGGTGGGCCGCCCCACTGTTCTACACTGGAACGAAGCGACTGCTCAGATTAGAAGATTTGTTCAAGCCTCTTGATCCTTGCAAGTCGAAATACATCGGCGATAATCTGGAGCAAAGCTGGCTGTCTGAAGTGGCAAAAGCCAAAGAAAACAACCGCCCACCCAGCCTGCTCAAGGCCCTCAATCGAGTGTTTTTGAGGGAGTTTATGAAATATGGCATTCTTCTATTTGTAATGATGGTTTTATTGCGGTGAAAACACCCTCAGCCAGGAAGGAGTTTGTAATAAGAAAATTTCTCTGTGCAGATCGCCTCAGCCTCTAGTTCTTTCCTGGCTGATTGCTCAGTTCCAGGAAGGCACCGACTCCAACACAACCACCATGTTTTCGGCTGCCAGTATTTTAATTTTGGTTTCCACTGTCGTCATCTTTATCATGCATCATTCAAACTGCAACGTGATGCTGATGGGAATGAAGCTAAGAGTTGGGGTCTCAAGTTTAATTAATCGGAAAGTAAGTAGCATGTCACCAGCTCCTGCAGAGGCACAAACGAGGGGAAAATATTAATAAAAGCAGCTCCATTTGGGTTGCAAATGGGTGTTGCAATGTCAATTAACCGGAAAGTGTTTAATAATTAAACCACAATGAACAAGAGCGCGAACAGAATTTATTGTTTTGCAGGTTTTAAAATTAAGCACTAAAGTGCTGGATGAAGCGGGAGCTGGCAAAGTGGTCAATCTCCTATCCAATGACTGCCAGAGATTCGACTTGATCTGCTACTACCTGCACTATTTATGGATAATGCCATTTCAAATCATACTGGTCACGTATTTCCTGTGGGACGCTGTCGGGATATCTTGCTTAGCTGGCATCCTGTCCCTGCTGCTCCTCACCGTTCCTTTACAAGGTAAATAAAGTAAAAAGTATAAAGTGAAGCTAAACCAAAACTTCAGCGATGCTCGGAAGAAACGCCTCAGCCCTGCGATTGAAGATCGCCGAACGCAGCGATGAGCGGGTGAAACTGATGAACCAGATCATATCAGGCATCCAAGTGATCAAAATGTACGCATGGGAAAAACCCTTTGAATTGCTGATTGAAACCCTTCGAGGCAAAGAAATTAGTGTCGTCACTAAAGCATCCTATTTGAGGGGCTTCTACTTGAGTTGCATGGTTTTCATCGAGAGAACCACCTTATGTGTCACTTTGGTGTGCTTTGTTTTGCTTGGAAATGGCCTGCAAGCTAATATCGTATTTTCCATGGCTCAGTTCTTCAACATCTTGCAAGGTTGCGCTTTTTAAACGGATCAAAGGCTGTTTAATTGCATAAGGAACTTGTAGTGGTGGTGGCAATAATGTATCCAATGGCTATCAGCATTGGAGCTGAAACCCTCGTCTGCATAAAGCGCTTGGAAGACTTTCTGCTGCTGGAAGAGAGGCAGGAGTACTCAGTCGAACGCATCGAAGCCCCAGAAGTGAGCTTGAAGTGCATATCGGCCTCCTGGGTTCCAAATGCTCCTACTTTAAGGAACATAAACCTGGTTGTTCCTAAAGGATGCTTATGTGCTATCGTAGGCCCAGTTGGTGCTGGCAAAAGCTCCATTCTGCAAGTGAGTTTTCTATGAGATTTTTAAGCGAATGGACGAACATTTTTATCGCTTTCAGTTGCTTCTAGGCGAGCTGGCGCCTACTGTAGGCACCATTAAAATGGGGGGCGAAATATCGTATGCTTCGCAGGAACCGTGGCTGTTTGCAGCATCAGTGAGGAAAAACATCCTGTTTGGAAACGACTATAATTCAGCTCTGTACAAGAAAGTCACCAAAGCTTGTGCTTTGGAAAGCGACTTCTTGCAGTTGCCTCATGGTAAATCCAACTAATCAGTCAATAGCAGCAAATTTCCATTAAACTGCTGACAATTCCAGGTGATAGAACAACAGTAGGGGAACGGGGCGTTTCATTGAGTGGAGGACAAAGAGCCCGAATAAATTTGGCCAGAGCCGTCTATAGGCAGGCTGATGTGTATCTTCTAGATGATCCTCTATCAGCAGTTGATACACATGTAGGGAAGCATTTGTTCGACAAATGCATCATCAAGCACTTAAGAGGGAAGACAAGAATTTTGGTTACGCATCAGTTGCAATATCTAAAGAAGGCTGATCTGATCATTGTTCTAAATGAGGTTGGTATTTGGGTGCTTTATTGCCCCTTGTAATGCTGTGGAAGCCAGAATAATTCCTGATCGAAAATCATTTGAACATGTCGATTTTGTAACGAGAACGGGTGAGAAAATTGAAAATTCTTACTCATTTCGCTTCCGAGAAATCAGCAAAAACGGGAAGAACAACATGAAATTTTGGCATAATCTTGAACCTAATTGCCTGATATTCAAATTTCACTTTCTGGGTCAAAACTACCCCAATTTCCTCATTCACGTTGTGTGAATCGACTTTTCAATTCTCTATCCAACGATGCCAAAACGAATTCTGTGACTCGAATGGTTCTTGAAAAACTTCGAAAAGAGCAGCGTCATGTTCAAGTGGATTTTGCAACTAAAAAAAAAAACCACGCAAATCTAAAAGTTTCCAAAAATTAGTTTTTGTTTAACTTTTTTAGTCCAACTTCTCACTTTTGCAATTCCAAAACCCAAGTTTACTTATTTTAAATCACTTCTGGGTCAAATCTACTCGAAGTTCCGTACTCATGTTGTTATGACTGAATCGAACTTTCAGTGTTCATCCAGCGATGCCAAAACGAGTTCTGCGGCTCAAATAGGGCTTGAAAAACTTCGAAAAAAGTTGCGTCATGTTTTGAGTCGATTTTGCAACTCAAACAGAACACGCAAATCTGAAACTTCTTGACATGAAGACGTTTTTCACAAAACTGGCAACATTTTCCTATTGATGGTTCATGTTCTAAAAAGGCCATTGATTTATCTCTGGAATTATGTAAAAATTAGAGTTTTTGCTAATTTTGTTTCCGAGAAATTTGCAATTGATAAAAAATTATGAAATTGTACCAACTACTTTAAAAGTTATTGGCAAAAAGCGCTTGAAACAAAATTTTCTAATAGTCGATTGACAATTCTAGGGAAAAATCGAAGCCATGGGCACTTTTGCAGAATTATCCAACACGGAATTCGATTTTGCCAAGTTACTCACTTCTGCAGATGAAACCAATGAGGAAAAAGATAAAGAGAGCAAGGAGAATAAGCGATCATTTGAAAGGTCTTCTAGCAGCCTGAAAAATCCGTTTAGAGCTGTAATAATATTAATGCACTTTTGTGCAATCAGGATAATAAAATACGGGACTTTTAGCTGTCAGACAACGAAAGCGAGATTGAAAGTACAGTGGAGGAAAACGAGGAAGCAGCCCAGTTTAAAGACGGGAAATCCGCTAATCCATTCCTGGATTACATAAAATCCACTGATAATGCCGGTTATATTTTATTCACGATTTTTGTGCTGCTCTCCTCGCAAGCGAGTTGCTTGATTTGTGACTTATGGGTCGCCTTTTGGTAAGCCAACATTTTTAGATCTTCCGATTGACTTTTGTTTAAAATCAGTTTAAAAAATAGTTTTCTCTACTATTTTCGTCCATTCTAGGACCAACCAGGAAGAACTAAGACACATAAAAAAGCCACCCCAACCATATGCTGTTGAAGAACTTTTCCAGGCAAACTCCACAAGCCCTGAGCCACTGTTGAAAAATTCCACCTACTTTTACAACCACACTGAAAACTCTGCAACCAAACAGAGCATTCTGGGCATTCCTTTCAGTTCGATTTTTGATGAACTGGAAATCGGTCAAACCATTTACTCCCTACTCAAAACTGATGTAGCTATGATTGTCTATGGATGTTCCATTTTGCTAGTAATCGCCCTCACCGTTGGACGTTCCTTTCTCTTCTTCAATGCGACAATGAAAGCGTCAAGAAACATTCACTCGAACATGTTCCACTGCTTGCTCAAAGCTCCTATGAGGTTCTTCGACATCAATCCTAGCGGAAGAGTTTTGAATCGATTTAGCAAAGATATAGGAGCGATTGATGAGATTTTACCGAGGGTTTTATTGGAAGCGATACAGGTAATACTTCAGGTTGATTGGCCATATATTATTTAAATGCATTCTCAATTTTGTTAACAGATTTTTCTGGTTATGGGCAACAGTTTGCTGGTGGTGACAATTTCCAACTACTACATGTTGATTGCCATTGTTCTTCTAGGGGGAATTTTCTTGAAAGTAAGGACTTGGTACATTGCCAGCTCACGCGCTATTAAGCATTTAGAAGGAATTGGTAGGCACTAGTTTATTTCCAGCAATTCTGGCAATTCCATCGCTTTCCTCTGAACATTTCAGCCAAATCCCCGATTTTTACGCATATAAACTGTTCCCTTCGTGGGCTCACCACCATTAGAGCTTGTGAAGCGCAACGCTCCCTTATTCGGGAATTCGATGACCATCAGGTGAATATCAACAAAATGCACAAGTCCAAACAATTTTCGTTAATTTTACCCGTAGGACATCCACACTTCCACTTGGTACTTAACAGTGATTTGTGGCGAATTCTTCGGTCTTTGGTTGGACATCCTTTGCGTGGTTTTCATTGCCTGCATTTCCTTCGCATTTGTCATTTCAGTGCAATGTAAGTGTTGAGCAATTTTTACAAGAGGCGCCCCTTCTGCTTCTGCAGAATGTTTCAATCTTCTATATATTCTGGCAGATGGCCAAGCGCCCAATGGAAGCATGGTGGGTTTAGCACTGTCGCAAGCCATGGTTTTAACTGGAATGCTCCAATATGGGATGAAACAAACCGCTGAAGTGATTAATCAACTAACCAGCGTGGAAAGAGTGCTTCAGTACACCAAGCTGGAGAACGAGGGGCCTTTTGAGACCCCCAAAGGCAATTCCTGCCAAGCACCACTTTTGAAACCTGCTCTATTAGTGTATGATTTTCAGATACTCTGCCGGTGCTTCCTTGGCCTAGCTATGGAAAAGTCGAATTTAAGAATCTGAGTCTTTCATACGTCCCGACCGAGGCGCCCGTTCTGAAGCACTTGAATCTGCTAATTCACTCTGGGGAAAAGGTGAGAATTGAATCAAGTCCAGCAGCAGCTTCAAGGGTAAACTTTCCCAACTTAGGTGGGCATTGTTGGGCGCACAGGGGCCGGAAAATCCTCCCTCATATCGGCGCTTTTCCGGCTCGCCCCTATAGAAGGCAACGTTTTAATCGACGACCTCAACACGAAAGTTGTGGGCCTTCGGGACTTGAGGAGGAGGATATCGATCATCCCTCAGGAGCCGGTTCTCTTCAAAGGGACGCTCAGGTTCAATTTAGACCCGTTTGGGGAGTTTCGCGACCAGCAACTGTGGACAGCGCTGGAAGAAGTAGGTTTTAAGCATGAGGTGGAACAAGGGAAACATTCCAAAAGCTTTGTTTAAGGTTGAGCTGAAAGATGTGGTCGCCTCGCTGCACTTTGAGGTATCAGAGGGTGGCACAAACTTCAGTCTTGGACAGCGACAGCTGTTGTGTCTAGCTAGGGCTCTGTTGAGGAACAATAAAGTCATGATTCTGGATGAAGCCACTGCAAATGTGGACGCCTTGTAAGCGCAAGATCAAACGGGGAAAACTTGCAGCTTAAGTTGGGTTTTTTTGTTACAGAACTGATAATCTAATACAGAGGACGATTAGGAGGAAATTCAGCCATTGCACAGTGCTTACAATCGCCCATAGATTGAACACCATTATGGACTCTAATAGGGTGCTGGTAATGAGTCGTGGGGAAATTCTGGAGTTCGACCATCCGCACAATTTGCTGCAGAATCCAAAAGGCTGTTTCACCAGGATGGTCATGGAAACTGGCACTTCCATGACGGAACAGTTGAGGAACGTGGCTTTGAGCGCATGGAATGAGAGGGATGAGGAAATGTTTTTTGATTGAATATGTATGGATTTGAGCAACTTGCTTCAGCTACAGTTTAATCCTGGGTAGTTGAGTAGTAGGAGTTTTATTCACTAGTAGGCAGCTTTGTTAAACGTTTATTTATTTATTATAGTAATATAAAACAAATGTTAAGCGCCGATTCTTTACCCTTGCTAACTTGGGGGCATTTTCCAGCAATAAATCCCCAACTTTCCCATCGAATTATATCACAAACTTTGCTTAGTTATTATCACAACATCACTCGGTGTCAACCAGTTCACAGCTGTGATATTTCGAACTCGTTTCCAGCCAACTTTCCACATCGTTTGAGGTGAGATCGTCAGAAGAAGGCAGCTCAGTCAGGGGCTCCATTTCGCTCACGTAACAGTTCTGTGAAGGATTTGTGTTTTCTTTCAATTTGTCATACTGTTTTTGTTTGTTCTTCTGGCTTTCGTTGCAAAACGCTTCAGCTGACATGCAAACTGCTACAAGAAAAGTAATAACCCAAATAAAGTGGTCAAATTATTTACAATAATTATATGCTATTGGACATTGTTTTAAAACTCTAAACAGTTTGAACAGCGGAGTGAAATTATGATTTTTGAATACTTGAATCTGTCGGGTAGAGACTGTTCTATCAGTGGGTTGAGTTTCGATTTTGAGTCATCATCAGGAATTTTGTAGCAAATTTTCAAAATTAGGATTGGATTTTGAGATTGTTTAAGTAGGCCGAAGTTCAGTATTTATTTACACGGAAACCACACAAGTTAAGGATTTAATTTTCTCTTAATTTTTGTCGGGTAGACACTGTTTTATCAGTCGGAATTGTTTCAATTGCAAACCATCATCAGGCATTTTTCAATGATGATTTAAAATTTGCCTTTGGATTTTACAACTCTTTGGGCAGGCCGAAGTATAGCATTTATTTTAATTTCCTCAAGGACCATGAAAGCGAGATAATCACTTTTATACCATTTTTCTTTCGCAGAGCAAGTTGCAATTTTGAATTATAATCAGACATTTAATGAAAATTTTACAATTGCGTTTGGATTTCCTAGTTGTTTATGCAGGCCAGAATTTAATATTTCTTTACTAGACAACCACCAAAAATAGAGAATCAGCTTTCATACATTTTGTCGGGTAGAATATGTTCTACCAGTGGGCACAGTTTCGATTTATTAAGTCATCATCAGGCATTTTTAGGAAAATTTATAAAATTTGGTTTGGTTTTGTTGGTCAATATTTTGCATTTTTTCACTTGGAAGCCATCAAAGCAAGAGAACTGATTTTGAATATTAAACCATCGCTAGGCCTTTCTTTGAATTAATGAAAATTTGCTTTTGAATCTTCCGATTTTTTGTACAGGCCGAAGTATATTATTCATTTGCGCGAAAACCGTTAAATCAAGAGAATACATTTTAAGGCGTTTTGTCGGGCAGATACTCCTCTAACCGTGAAGAGAGATAGTTTCGATGTTGAGGCATCATCGGACAGTTTTTGGGAAAATTTCAAAATTTACGTTTATATTTTGCGACTGTTTATGCATGTTCGGCCTGCATAAACACATAATTGGAACAACAACAAATCGGAAACATTTGAAGTTTCTAAAACAACTGTAACTTGGAAAACTTATAATGCACGGTTCTGGTATAAAAGAAGACGCTTGAGCCAAGTTTTTATTAAGGAAAAGTGTTTGACTCCCCTGCTATTGATGGTGAAAGTTCTGAAAAAGTGATGTTTTTTGAATGTGTTGATGGGTTTTTGTGCAAGTGGATCACATCCAGGGGCGGATCCAGCTTTAAAGTCAGGGGGGGGGGGGTTATGTAGAAAAAATACAGTCTTCTCTTATCTATGAAATTAGAAAAATGATCGTCGTTGTGCAAGAGTGGCGCACGCTTATTGCAAAATTTCATGTTTTCCGTCCCGTTTTGCATGTTTCTCGGAAGCAAAATGAGCAAGAACGCTCGTTTTTACATCATTCCAGAGATAAC